AAAACATAAGATTTAATTTCTAAATAAATTCAAATACCATTTTTTTATAATGAGTTCCAAAAGTAGAATATAATTCCTAAATTGAATAAGTTAGTTTTAAATCGAATAAAATTAAATCATTTCTTATTTTTAAAGATTCTGAACATAATGAATGAAAAAATATTTTACGCCAATGAAGGTTGATTGGTCGTTTTTTTTTATATATTATCAACTTAAATTTTTAATAAGTTTTCATATCTTGAATGTAGATATGCCTTCTCCTAATATAATTTTTTAATTAAAAATATCATCATACGATGTAACTAAATTAGTGACAGTAATAATCTAAAGTCTAATCATTATGTTTGAAAATTAGAATTGTTGGAGAATAGTATAAAAAGCAAAGAACATAAATCAGGGATGTGTAATCTAATACATGCCTGATTCTTTTGGGTTCATCAAAAGGCATTCATGCACTATTTTCAAATTCTACAGGTTCTTATGGGTATGTTTGATTATATTCTTTTTTTTTCTTAAAATTATTTTATAGCATAGTTATGAAAATAAATATTTAAAAAAAAATTAAAAGTCAATATACAAAATAAAAATAATTTAAACATATTCTCTAAATCTGATTCTAAAAAAAAAGTTATAATTTTAATTTTTTAAACGAATTTTTTATTTTTTTATTCTGAAAACAAAAAAATTATTTTTAGAAACAAAAGAGGACTTTGTTTTTTTTATTTTTTTATGTTTTTATTTTTTTAAGTTTTGCTATTTAAAAAATGGGTCAGACGGTTAACGGGTCAAATGATTTTGACTCATTTACGGCACACGTATTGTGACGAAGTCACAGATTCCCCAGTTTGACCACCGACTGAGCAAGAGAATGTTCAGTGTATTTTTTTTTTTAATTATTTCTAAATTTAAGCTATAACTAAATTATTTAGTAAAATAATTTATGTAAACTCTATTTTAAATTAAAATTATCATAAAAATATATAATTACAAACCTATGTATTATTATAAAAACTTCATATAAACACAAATATTTTTCAAAAACATAATTTCTTTTAGAAAGTTAACAAATACTTATTTATCAATATATCTTTCTTTTTTTGGTAAAGATTTATCAATATATCTAAAAATAAAAATGAACATACTTGTTTAAATATATTTCTATAGTATCATATAAATTTATAAAAAATATATCCATTACGATATTAATTATCAAATATTTAATTATACAAAAAAATATTATAAGAGTTTTTTGATATATTAATATATGAGGCAGGACCCTTTGACACCAGTGTCAAATTTCAAATTTAACACCTCATCTGAGAGTCATCGGATCAAAAAAGATCAATAGCTCTGATTTGTAAGCATGTGATGTCATTGATATTTTTTGATCCGATGACTCTCGGATGAGGTGTCAAATTTGAAATTTGACACCGGTGTGAAAGGATCCTATATATATATATATATATATATATATATATATATATATATATATATATATATATCTTAAGATAATTTTTTAAAATATTACTATTTTATTCCCCTCAACATTTTTAAGTATCTAATTGTACTCTTTATATCATTTTCCTTTCTTATTAATTTTTTCCCCAATATTTTCTAGTCCCTATCTCTCTCCTATTTACCAAAGAAAAGTTTCTTATTAAACTAACATCTCAGTAGTTAACTACAATACATGAAAAGAGATAAGATACAAAATAAGATGAGATACCAAAAAAAAAAACGATGAGAAGAGATCTACAAATAAGTAGAACACAATTTTTGTCATTCTCAATTTTATGTTTAATTATGGAATGTCAATTCACCAATAGCTTTGCAAATTATCAACCAACGTTCCATTAAATGAAGCCACTATTTGATTGCGAACTCTATTCATATAACCTTAATATGTTTCTCTTCTATGATTATAAGTAGTCATTTTTTGGTCAATATTACTTTTTTTTGCGACTCAAGATTATAATTAAGATTGCGATCACACTTATCAAACTTTCCATCTTCAACAACATACCTTCAAAAAAGTTATGAAGTGATATTGTTGCAACAATAATCTTCGTATGCTTGGACAATGGAAATGGTCTCATAAGATGTGTGATTGATTACTGATATTTAAAAACTGAATTTTAAAAAGATGAAGTCTTGTAATTAATTGTCAAATACCTTAATCAATTATAACCATGTTATACTTAGTTTTTTTTTTCAACTTTAAAACAAAAAAACAAATTCAAATTCATTTAAGTGAAAAAAAGATGAAAAGTTCTGAAAAACTAAAAGAAAAGAAAGAGGAAGTATTATTTTTTTAACACCCTTTCATCTAGGGGCGTTTGCTTGAGGAGAAATTTTTTGAATACAGGAAAATGTAATTGATAGAGAAATGGTTGGAAAGTGAGTTTGGTAGGAAAATGTAAAAAAAGTCGTTTGGTTGGAAGAAATTTTACTGGGCAAATTAAGTAAGATTTATAAACTCTATGTTTGGTTTGAGGTAAAATATAGATGGAAAAATAAGTAACAATTACGAAAATATCCCTATTTTTTTGTACAAATTTTTTTTTTGGTTATTTATAATTTTTTTTTTGGATATTGGTACAGATTATTTTTTAATTTGAATACAAATGATAATATTTGCTTTTTTCAACCTCCTACCTATCCATTTTTCACCACTGAATGATCCAAGACATACTTAACAGGGTTATTTTTGTCAAAGTTTCCGACCTTAGCTTTTCATTTCCCCAGCGAAGTTAGAATACTTATATCTAGGTGGTATTTTTGGGTTGAATTTTTGTTATCATTTTACACTGAAAATGGATTCCTATGCAAATGATAATTGTGGGGAAATTTTCTCACATTTGCTGCCAAACACGGTTTTGCCATATTCTCACTTTTCACTTACCTATCTATCTCCATATTTTCCTCCAACCAAAACACCCCCTAATGTCATTCTTCTTGTTTCAATGATGAGAAGGACAGTTAGTTTGGATCGTTTCCAAAAATTTTACTTTTTATACACTTCTTATTTTAGACGTGTTTTTTTATTAAAGTTAAAGTTATTTAGATTTAAAAAAATATTTGACTTTTGACTTCGACTTATTTTAGAAGTTAAAATTTTTAACTTAAAAAAAATAGATTTTTGACTTTTTTTTATGACTTTTATTTTTTTTTTAAAAGGAAACATCCAAATAAATTTTTCCTGACAAATGTGTTTTGGTTATTGACAAAAGCATCTTTTGGAGGGAAAAAAAAAAATCATTAAACGAGTTTTAAGTATCAAGAACTGGGAATTAGTGTATCAGTCGAATTTTTATTCTTTTCCTGTTTATTTTACTAATAAATGGAGCATCAATTCATCTGACAGAACATTCAAATCATCAACCTAAAACTACAAATCACTAACAAGGTGAAAAATAAACAAAGAATTGTAAATGTCACAATAAATATGGTCTTTATTCAAGTTTTCTTGGCAAGATACACCGCTTGAATCACTATATGTCTATTTCCATTATCCAACATGAATAATTAAAGAGGGACAAGTCTCTAGGTACATTTCAGCCCAATAAGAGAGAGCAAATCTTCCACATGATGCAAAATGAAAAGGGTAGGAAAATCTTGCCTTTTTCTTTTCTTACTTTTGTTTTCCTTCTAAATCTCTTGTCTGTAGTGTATAGCAACCCAAAACACCTAATTAAGAGGGAATATAAAGAGATACCTTATTTCATGGGCTTGGACCTCCACATAGCTCATGAAATTAGGATGTCTTCTTTCTTTTAGTTAGAAAGTTGAAAATTAGAGTAGTTGCTAATATCATGTTGTGGTCCAATTGTATGGTACGAGGGGTTGAGACTTGATTCCTACATCACAAGCATGAGATTTTGATGTGGGGCCTTGGGATCTTCCACTTCAATAGTTAGCTTTTGGATAATGGTCCAATCAGGAAATTTTATTTATGTCTTCACAATTGTTTTCGGAATTTTTTATTTAAAAAAGTTTTAGATATATTAAAATACAAAAGAATATATATAAGAAAAAAAACTTCAACTTAACCTCAAAAAATAATAATCAAAAATCAACTAAGCTGTTATGATAGAATGATTACAAAAGCATTCTTCGATTCTTCAATATGGAAGTTTCCAAAATAGAGCAATGTTAGTACTTTTGAGGGATTAACGTGGGTCTTCTTTGAATTTTAGAGGGATTGCAATTTCAAGTAATTGAATCTATTTTAATATTCAGAAGGATTACAAGTCTGACTTTTTTTTTCTTAATGGATTATATTAGGCATTGTAATTTTTGTTGAGATCCCAAAATATATTTTACTCTTTTTTTTTCCGTATGCACTTGCACAAACACAGATCCGCCAATACTTTTGGATTGTGATCTTCCTAAGATTTATATCACTTGATATTATAGATTTCTATTTTGTACCCGCTAATAAAAGGGTTATATTTATATCATTCAGCATGAGATAACCCATCTTCCTACACACATATAACAAAGGTGGATCTCACTTTTTTTTTTTTCTCTCTAATCATTTGTGGGTTTATTTTATTATTTTGTTTGACTAACATAAGATAACTTATCTACATCCACGTAAGAAAAAGATTTCCCTTAATAAAAAGACCTAAATGGAGGTAACAGAACAAAGATCTGCATCTTTTAATTCATTTCAAAGTCGCCAAAATGCTTCAAATAAGTCAAATTATATTACTAGCAAACTCATATCTCCGTTCTCTATCAGTAACACCATGACTAAAATAAGCTCCTTTTTCTCTCAAGTAGTGTTTTTTATGCTAAGCTACTTTCCCTCTGTTACATAGCAGCCAACAGAATGAAAACTCTGTAGAATAAGACAAACAGGAATAGAGTAGTATTAGAACCAAAAGCCCACAACCTTCTGATTAATGCACAGGTTGATTTACTAAGCACCTATTTATAACTAGATTTCAACTACATCAAAGCCAGATAAAGTAGTTCTATTTTCTTGACTAATTTTCTTAATAGTTCCAAATTGAAGTGGAGAAAGTAAGCTCATCGTTTATGTCATATGCTTCAAACTGGAAGGCTTCTGATTCATGATTATCTACAACTCCATGGTCATTCATATCAATCAATGCCTCCCAGTTAACACTCATGTCATCAAACACAGCTTCAGATACTGTTGAACTTCCATAACTGTCAGCCTTTTCTGACTCTTTTTCTTCTTTAAGTATTCCCATCTGTTGAAGAAACTCATGTAGGTCTATCTGGGGCTTCTCCTGAAGATCATCTTCAAGCTTTTTTTCTGATGAAATTTGAACATCTTCTTCTTGTGGAGGAATTTTTACATGATTTTTGCTACCAGTATGTTCAAATTCTTCTACCTTTGCATCACTGGATGAACTAGAGTGAGGTTGAATTACAACCCCTTTCTTCTGCTTAAGCTCTTGCAGCCTCTGATTGATTACATGAACACTTGGTTGAGCATTTAGATTGAGTGATCCATGTGAAGGAAACATGGAAATGAAGTTCTTGGAAGGAAACCATTTGAACTTTTGATGGCATTTGGTAGAACTAAATCTTGGTTTTTGCATGTTGGGAAGGTTAAGGTAAGCATCAGGTCCATAGAGTCTCTTTGCAGCTTCATCATAAGCCAAGGCAGCTTCTTCAGCTGTTGCAAAAGAACCAAGCCAGAGTCTGGTTCTCTTCTTTGGCTCTCTTATCTCAGCAACCCATTTGCCCCATGTTCTTTGTCTAACACCTCTATACTCACATGAAGCATTCTGGGGGCCACCTTTTCCCCTTGTTGGCCCTTTCTTCCAAGGCTTCAATGAAGACTTTCTGCTAGCTTCCATGGTTGGTAATGTGGAGAGTTACACAAAGGCAAGGTTATACTTGAATATGTAGGAGCAAGAGTGGAGTCTAATATTAATGTTGTCACGTTTGGAGAAGTCATCATGTGACCGTTACTGAGAATTGACACAGATTGTTTCAAATCCTGATTTTTTTTTTTTTCTTACCAAGAAAATTGTAGGCTGAATTTTTTAGGCATTTTCACCGTAATAATATCAAAGGAAAACATTTTTCCTCCTTAATTCAAAAGGTGAATATTTTGTCAAAATAATGCAATGAAACGTTCATAAAGTAAAGAATGTGTATTCAAATTACGCATAAGGTGATGTATGACTTATGCAAAAGTCAGTTCACACTTATTACAAGTTGCACATTACAAGTCGCATATTATATCATGCACAACTTAAATCCACACATCTTATACACGACTTATATGACTAATCTCGAGTTCAATTATGCTGCCCTCATCTTTTAATAAAAATTTCAGCACAAAATAATTAAATGCTACATTATTCACGCTTCAATTCAATAACATTCTTAGCATGATTGGCTTTGTATGTATTGTCAACACTAGACTCTTTGCGCGACTGATCTATATGAATTATTCATGCTTCAATTCTATATAACTCTTAACGTGATAGACCTATGTGTATCATTCCGTTTCAACTAAAATTCTTGCTGGTGTGAAATGACATGTTAGAAATATAAACAGAATTCTTGTTGTTATCTATGCTAGTAATAAATCATGTCAATTTTTTTGTAATATTTTTTCCCATGATATTGCTTTTTTATAATTGTCTTGCAAAACACGAGAATTTGAATTGGACGGGTGTTTCTATTTTGTTCGCTGGAAAGTGCAGCTCTAGTTGTTATAAACATCCTTAGTTTGCAATCTACACGTGTTTATTACTGCAAGTATGAGCATGCATGGTCTTAACATGTGGCAGATGATTATGCTTTTATTTTCTACACAAACAAAATATCTTTCCCTAAGAGATAATCAAAATGAAAAACTTAAAAAAAAGCAGATTTTTTTTTTTTAATAACTTATTTCATGAAAACGAAAGACACGGTTCTGCAAATTTATAGTTCTGTAAAATAAGGTCAAATAGTCTATTGGCACTCACGTCACGGGTCATAGATTATTATGGCATGCCCACGATTATTCAAGCCTACTTTGGTTAAGACCAACAAAAAAAAAAAAAAAAAAAAGTGCTTATTTTTAGTGATTGATTAATCCTTGTTTAAATCTTAATCATTCTATGATTTTAAATTTGATAAATGGAGGAGTCAAATTAGTCAAGCTTTTGAGATTGGACAGGAGAATCACCTTGAATTTTGAAATATGCAAGTTCATCCCCTTTTTATTTACAAAGATAATAATTAATGGAGAAGGTTATACTTACAACCTATTTTCGTTTACAAATTCTTACAACCATATCTTAACCGTTGATTTTCGTCAATTAACGGTTAAGATTTTTACAAATTAAATTTATTAATTAATTATTAATTCACAATCAATAACAACCATTGATTGGCGGAAATCAACGGTTAAGATATGGTTGTAAGAGTTTGTAAACTATCTGGGTTGTAAATATAACCCCCTCCCATAATTAATAGCAATTTTAAGATTAAAGTTTTCATTTTTTATTTTTCAACATACTTTATAACATTAAATGTTAAGTGGAGTAAGCTCACATATGATCCTTGAAGAGGAAGAGAGAAAACGGGCTTATTAAATGTTGTTGAGGTAGTGACTGCAATATAAGGCAAGACTCTTTCCAAGCCACTGTGATTGCTTTGAATGAACTCTGACACTCATCCTTGGATTCTATACAATAGTTGAATTTGGCCTCGAATGGAAGAATTTTAAAAAAGATCCACCTCTAACATTTTTCAATTTCACGAGCTACATTTCACATGTTATACTGCCATACACAGCCTGATTCTCGAGACCCAGTTCACCTTTATCCCATGCTTTCAATCTCTATGTATGACTAGATATGTCATCTGTGAATTACATTCTTATCACTGAGCCTGGAAAATACCCCACATGCTACCAAATAGAGCATTGGTTACGAAACTAGACATGACACTGAGAGTTGATGGTGATGGTAAAATTGGTGCTGAGAAGGCAACAGTATGACACAACTATGCTTACTGTAACAAGAGAAACTGGCAATAGATTTAACGAGGGAAAATAATTGTTGAGATATATAGTCCTACATTGGTTGTATGTGCAACTAATGTGGAGTTTATAAGACCTTGGACACTCTCACCCTTTAAGCTAGCTTTTGGGGTAGTGTATCCCAAGATTTTTTACATGATATCAGAGCTTGAGTGACTATAAGGTGATATGATCGATCATCATCGCCCCCCACTTTAAAGTGAAATTAAAATAAAAACACAAAAAAGTAAACCAAAAATTGAGCCTGTGCAATATCCACGCTTCTAGCCCAACGGGCTCTCAGCGTGTCGAGATATATAGTCCCACATTGGTTGTATGTGCAACTTATGTGGAGTTTATAAGGCCTTGAGCACTCTCACTCTTTGAGTTAGCTTTTGAAGTGGTGTATCCCAAAATTCTTTACAATAATAAATAAAGATGAAGAAATATACACTTATAATTGTGAAAAGATAGCATACATGAAACATCTGTGCAGAACATATTACGCGATATATGATCAAAATTTTACTATTATATGACCATTATTATGACAAACTTACGAAAGGGACACTTCTACAAAAATTTACACTAATCGAGTGGTCAGAGCTAATCAACTTGATTATTTAAATGGCATGTTATACATAACTTCCACGATTCTCTTTTCTTGTCGCAAGATCTTGCAACGTTCTTGCAAGGGTAAAAGTGACGCCGTAATAGGAGGCTAGCTACAACAATCTAGAAGTTAACCATTTGCCAAATGTTTCTGGAGAAAAAAAATGAAATGCATCAGACATGCAAACAACATATAATTTTTATTATCACACACTCTCGACTCAACATATAATCTTTATTAACAAAATGATCCGAGGAAAAAGAGCAAATATGAAAACTTGAGCAAGTACTTGAGTAAAATATGGGAATTGATCCTCACATAAGATTTTTGCATGATAAGATTATGAAAAAATATCGAATCTATCTCTTTCTTTATAGACATTAAATAGGTGGGGCTCTAATATTGTGAATATTTATATATTATAAAAATAGTAGACACAATTTTCACATGAGCTTACAAAATTTTCATATGACAATGTTGTGAAAATTTAATAAGAGAGGATCTAATCCCATGTATATTCCATACGGACTTGATGCACAAGCAATCTTTATTTTTATTGTATTCAGAGAATATCAAGGACGCGCTACAATTCCTATTAATTACATGTTAACTTTTTAGATGAGTTTTGAAGCTACCAAATGAAGATCCACTAACCGTAATTTCTTATTTCAAGGTTAAGACATATGAGAAGAAAACCTTGCTTGTACCATATATTAGTTAAGATAATATACAGATATGGCTTATATGCATTCTATCAATCCATAATATGTACAGAAGAGGAACTAGATGAAGCAAAAATATTTATTTATTTATTTTTAAAAAAGGACTAAAATATCTACTGAATGAAAAATGAAAAAGTGCAGACAATTCATCAAATCAGCAAGGGATTGCAAGACATAGGTTCCACCTAGATATAGTAAGTTATGTTGTTATAGGATATAAAAGGTTTACCAATAAAATTGAGTAGTGCAGATTGGACTTGGGACATTGCAGCTGGCAGTCAGATGAGAATGAGGAACAGAGGCAGGCCAACTTGACCAATCTTACGAGTATGATTTAAGATGAAGGCTTTCATTTCGATTTTGAGTGAGCTTTGCACATGTTCTTCCATTTATCCTTCAGGTCTACTGGCGTACGGCGCTTATCATCCTTCTCAAACACATGAGAACCGAATGCCAAAATCTTCTTCCACGGGATTGTTTGGTCACTGGAACCAAACTTCTGCACTCCCTCCTTCATAGTGAAAGCAAGCAATTATTAGAACAGTTGATAAACGTATATAACCTTGAGATACATGAAACATGATACATGATACATTAAACCACAGAGCTCAAAATGGAAAAAACACATTTGATGATCCATATCCTATAACTTTCGATTTCTAATGCCGTATTAGAAAGCTCTAAATCACAGAATTGTGGAAGCAAAAGAAATCCATTTCTGAATAATAATGTTTACACAGAAACATAATGCAGTTAGCTACTTATAAAAGTCAAACTACTTCCAAAAAGTGATAAAGAAATGAAAAGGAAATACCCTTATCAGCTCTTCCTCCTCAGCTGTCCATGGAATTTTCTTTCGTCTTAAAAGAGGGCTTGCTTGGGGTTTGCTGTAAATCAAAATAACTAATCAAATTAGAATGCGCATAACAGTGTCATCCCTTCAAAGTTAATTACTAATTATTAGTTTATCGGAAATATATCTCTTCGGAAGCAGGAAAGACACTATTCTGTGCAGCAGTCATATCCTTTTTAGGATACGGAACTGTATCCTGAAAAGGATGTGTTAGCTGCAGATAACTTCTCTAACTTCTCTCCTGCAACAGGAAATTAATAGCACCCTTAGTTTATTACCTTAAAGAGGCATTTGGTTCATGAGTTATTTTTCTATTCCCACAAATCTTGAGATGGGAATGACACATTCCCAAATTCAATATAAGAAAAAAATACTCCCCATTGAACCCCAACTAGTGAGGGTGGGGTGAGAATAATTCATGTACGCAATCTTACCTTTACATAATTGCAAAGAAGCTGTTTCCCGGATTTGAACCCGTTACCTTTCAGTCACGAAAGGAACAACTTCACCACTGCTCCAAGTTTTCCCTTTTTCCAAATTCAGTATAAGACATGAAAAAATATTCCCACCCAAAACTTATTCCAAAGAATATTGTTTAGTTAGGATTCCCACGAAATCATTCCCACCAAAGAAGGTGGGTTGAGTTCATTCCCATCCCATGGGAATAGTTATAGTTTTATCAAAAGACCATCTTGCCTTCCTCTGCCATCTTCCTTTGGAGGTTGATTTGCTGCCATCTCTTTTGGGTGTTGAATAAGACCCAGAGGACAAGAGAAAGCCACTTCCAACAACAAGGAGGACTGGATCAACTACATTGCACACTCCATCGTCCAACATTCTATCAGCTGATGAGGGAGTTTTGAAGCACTGGAAGGGTGAGATTCCTCCTGGGGTTTTCTGGATTTTCACGAATTTGAGATGGGATTTTGTTGGGAAAAGAATGGGATGTGGAAGAAGATGGAGTTGGTTTCTAAAACATGGGTTTGAAATTGCAGAACCAAATGATGGTGGATTTTTTGTTCTTACATTTGGTTTCTGAGTTTATGTATATCAATTGCAGATCCTGTTACATCATATGACCGTTCTAGTATGAAAATTATCTGTTCTGTTTGGCAAAGTTGAATTCTCACATTGGAAGGTTGAAAAACACGCTAGCAACAGCAAGGAAGCCAAAATTGGAGATCATTCCATACCACAAGTCACATGTTTAGGTATCTTGGATCTATCATTCTAAACGATGGAGAAACAAAGAGAGATGCAAATCATAAGATTCAACCTCGGTGGACGAAATGACGGAAAGCCTTAGAAGTTATTTGTGAGAGAAACGTGCCTTTTAAGCTTACCGCACAGCCAAAAGACCAGTGATGCTTTATTGTACTGAATGCTTGGAGATAAAGGGCCAACAAGAGTATATGAGTTGTAGTGACAAGAATGTTACATTAGATGAAAGGTCACAAAAGATGGTAGAATCGCATCTAAGATGCTTTAGACATGTGAGTAAAAGACCAATCAAAGTACCAGTTAGGAGAGTTGATCAGATGGAAGATAACCCAACAATCACAGGTAGATTTAAACCAAGAAAAACACTTAATTAAAACATTAAAAAGGATTTAAATCTAAAAGGCCCCTTTGAAAATTTGGTTTTAGAAAAAACACAAATGCATGTTTGATCCATGCAGCCAACCCCACCTAATGGGAAAAGGCTTTAGTTTCTCCTGTGGTAGATGTGCAACAGTGCAAGTTTTCCTCCTACTTGGACATGCTAGACTGGTTATAGTGATATGTTTGGAATATTATCAAACATGGAATGCTGTCTTAAACCAAAAATAGGAAGATTCCTGGGAATAGTTTATAACATTCTCGGGAATGGTCAAAGTCAACCAAATATAGGTTCGATAGATTCCTATTATGAATACCATTCCTTAGAATAAAATTCCAAGAATCCTATTCTCAGGATTGAAATACCAACTCCTGAAACAAACATCCCCTGAAAGTGACTAACGCAAGCCAAAAATTTTAAAACAAGCTCATCTTCAGGAATATATTAAAAAAAATTGAATCAATAATTCCAACTTTCAACATCCAAAGATTACTCCAAGCAAAAGAAAACAAAAATACATTCTGAAGAAAATATTGTTACCAAAAAGCTTTAAAACACTGCACATGACCAGATAAAAAGAACACCTTAATAGATTAGAAGTTCAATATTCACATATAGTAGGGAAAGTGTAATAACTTACTATTGAGTTTCATGCTTCCGGAATCTCATTGAATATCTAGAAATAATATGCTTTTCACATCCATCTTCAGAAATTTCCTTTTTTCCAGTATCATGTGCACAAACTGGCTCTACTGTTCCATCCATATTGTGTTGTTTCGTCAGTTCTTGTGGAACTTCTTCTCCACCATTGCTTTGACTATCACAGACAATATTTGCTTTTTTACAAGAATATTTATCACCACCACATCCATCTACATGGTCAGTAAGCACTTGGTTTTCTTCAACTCTTCCACCAGTTAAACTCTTTGCATTCTGCATTTCACTCCTTTCCTCTTCTCTTAAAGCTTCTATTAATCCATTATTTACATTTTCCTTTTCTCTGCATGATGAGGGGACACATGATATAGGGGCTTGTGGCTGACTTCTTTCAAACTGAAGATTACTGACTTCATTTGCATGCCCACCAACATGATATTCTCTATTGTCTTCACACCCTGTTAACTCATCATTTCCGATGTTATTGACATGAATAAACATGCTATTCTTTCTTGAAGGACTATGTTCTTGTCTATGAAATTCATGAACAGCTTGGTTCCTTATTCCCTTACTAATGAAGATAGCCAATTCTTTCCTTGCCAAGGAAGCTTTTTCCTTAGCTTCAAGATATTCTGAGATAGTGTCAGAATATACACAAAATGGGCAGACAAAGTTGCCTTTTCCGTCCAATTGAGCAGACACACCCAGACAGTTTTTATGCACCATCATTGGGCAAGTAGTTGTTTTACAAACTAGTAATTGGCCACGTTCATTACACTTCATGCAAAGATTTTGTTCAGTCGACTCAGTCATTGCTGAGAAACCTTGAACATATGTACACTGGGAGCTCAGGAATTCATGTTTTTTGGCGGCAAGATCAATCTTTTCATTGTGATACCTATCACTATCACTTGATAACTCAGCTTCACAACCATTAAAAGTAGCAACTACAGTTTTATCACTAGCAACGGGCTTCTGAGACTGAGAGAAATTTAAAGGTACAACATTTGGTTCGTTCTGTTTGGGTTGGGATTCATTAATCATATGCTGAATTTTATCGGCATTATCACCATTTGAAGGAATAGGGTAAACATGATGTGCATTATCATTGCTTTCATCCATAGACTTATTTTGGCAAGGCTCAGCTCCAGATGTATGCTGAGGCATAATGGTGGTTGCCATACCAACACAACTTTCAGGAACCACTAGTGAGACAGGAGTCGCATCACTAAACAGTAATTGACCAACTTCCTTACACTTCATACCAAGATTCTGCTCTTCGTACTTTTTCATTAAAACATTAATGTTTTCACCTTGATACACAATCTTATCAGCTGTTACTTCTACCCAACTATTACCAGTATCATCTTGAGCTTTATCACTAGCAACTGTCTGCTGAGAGCCATTTGGATCTTCAAGCTGCAAATCTGTTTCATGTTTAGACCAGGGTTTACTTCCAGAAATCTTATGCTGAATTTCATCTGGGCATGCAACATCAGTTGCAATTGACTCAATCTGCTTTTGCTGAGAATTTTCACCTCCAAATGTATGCTGAGGCATCAAAGTAGCATCGAAAGGAATATTTGATTCATCATGAACGACTTCATTTTGGTTGCTGGATTGGCACAAATTTGAAGCAGTGCACCTATTGTGACTATCCTCTATGGATCCACCACCCATAGTTCCCCAGTTAATCTTTTCTGTTTGATGCTCTCCTTTCTCAGAAATTAGAAGAATTCTTTCAGTTGAATTTTCTGACACTTCCTTTCCGAGTTGAGAAACAGTTTTTTCTTTCTTGGAATCAAAACTTGTAGATGCATAACATTTAATTCTCTTTGTATTTCTTAAGAAATCATCACATTCATTTATACAAACTTGCTTTTCACGAAGGTGTCCCACAAAATGCTTATCAGCTGAGTAAACCCTGTTCCTCTTAAAGGGTAAAAAATTATTATCAAGTAAATGTTCTTTTGAAGATTTATCCCTGTTATCTAAAACTAAGGAAACCAAGTTCTCATTTGTTTCGATGTTTTCAGCAAAAGTGGACTTCCCATTATCCTTGTCTGAATGATCATCGCATTCACCACCCTTTACATGTCCTGTATGACCCATATTCTGGAGGAATAATCCACTCCTTTCTTTTAAGTAATCAGTATGTGGTTGAGTGCCTTCCAATATTGATTCTTTCAGCTATTCAAAAAAGGGAGAAGACAGGACCAAACAAGAATGGTAAATGCAAATGTATTAATTTCAAAAGGGAGAGGGAAAGCAGAATTTTTTTTTCCAAAAGAAAGAGACACTTCTATCACCTGCTCTAAGTGACATTTAATAGTGCCAGATCTTTTGTGCATAATAAATGAACTAACATCCCATCTCAAAAGCTCTGCTCCAGCCATTTTCAGATTTGATAATGGTATCTGATTCATATATAACCCCAAAAGAAAAAGGATTTATCTCAATTAGCATAACAATAAAGTCCTCATCATAAAACATCGCAAAAGAAATACTTAATAGAACAAGTAACCAAACTGGTTCAATTAGCTTCTAACGTACAATGTAAGTAGAATTTGTTACTTCACATATCAAATATCTTTTAACATTTCAAATTGTTTTACCTCATGCAATATTTCTTGGAGAACATCAACACAACTTCGTGAAAAATCAAATCCAACTCTGGAATCCAAGGTAGAAGAAGCATCACGATTAACACACAGTTCCTCCAAACACCTCATAGCAACCAATTCCTTTGTATTTTCACAAAAATCATCTTGCTCTATAGGGGATGCATCAATCAAACCTGCAACAGAGAAATGACAATAATAAATCTAATCATGAATTATTTATCTAAACTGAAAAAACAATAAATAAATAAATGGCTTGTCAAGTTAGATTTCGTACCCTGTAAAGTGGATGTAGTGATTTCACTGAAGCCTGCTAGGGCTTCAATGACCCAAATCCATGGAAGTTTTGAGGAAGATTCAGATGGTTCATCATCATCCATGGGTTATTTGCCCAATTCTTTTGCAACTTCAACAAAATCCAAACTTTCCAAACCTAAATGATTTTAAATTGCAGTGGTTGCTGTTGTTTGAGGATTTTCAGAGATTTTTCAATGGCGAAGGGGGCAAATTCTATGAAGAAACCTCATCAACACGAAGATTGAAAACAATTGAAATTCAGAAAACGAAAAAGTGAAAACTCGATTTTCCGAGAAGATTTGGAAAAAATTTAATTTTATCTAAAAGGTAAGGTAGAATTATTTTTTAAATAAAATAAGGAAAAAATGTTTATCAATTTAAAATTACGTTATTTTTTTTAATGAAAGAGTAAATATCATTTTTGGTCCTTAAAATTTTTTATAATATCCGCTTTAGTCCCTAACAAATAAAAAAAGTTATTCGTGGTCCCTGATAAATTCAAAGTGGACCCATTTTACTCCTTTTGAGAGACTAATGTGAGTCTTTTTTGAATTTGTGAGCGATCACAATTTCAACTAAATTGCTCCATTTTGAATTTCTTAAGGACAACGAATAGCCTTTTTATTTGGTAGGGACTAAAGTGAGTATCGTAAAATTTGCTGAGGACCAAAAAAGATATTTACTCTTAATGAAACTAGAATATTACCCGTGCGATGCACGAAAAAAAAAATTAGTTTGTTTATCTCGCAAATCGTAAAAGTATATTGCTGCATTTTATTTAAATTAACAATATGAGGTGCCTAACTCTAGCTTTTTGTACATGTAGAGTTGACAAATATTTGAGTTAGTAGATGCCATTTAGTATCTTGTCCTGTAGTCATTTATAAATTACGTATTTTGACACGGCTTCTTTCAATATTTCTCAGATGGATTGTTCATTTTGTATTAGCTTGTCTCAATATGATTTTTGTTCATTTTGTTTAGATGCTTATTTCTGAAATATGTACAGCAATAAATCTAATAATCTTAGCCACACAAAGATGGATTTATTAGACAATAAATATAAGAAGAAAAAAATGTGTTGGCAGGCGCGATGGGCCGGCTCTCCGGGCCGAGCCCATTTTGCCACATCTAACTATCAGCATTTTATATCAGCAGTAAACCCAATGTTCTTAGCCACACAAAGACAGGTTTGTATATATATATATATATATAATATAATATAAATAAAAAAATATTTGAACGGGAGGGGTGACGTGAGTAAGCCCTCCGGGCCTAACTCATTTTGCCATCTCTAACGGTCAGTATTTTATATTAGCAGTAAATTCAATTATCTTAGCCATGCAAAGACGGATTTGTTAGACAGTAAATATAAGAAGAAAAAAAAAAGTGTTGGCAGGAGGGGTAGGTCGGCTCTCCGGGCTGAGCCTATTTTGCCACATCTAACTGTCAACATTTTATATTAGCAGCAAATCCAATGAATTTAGCCACACAAAGACAAATTTAGTAGACATAAAACATAATTAAAAAAAAAGTGTGTTGGCAGGATAACCCACCCGTTTGGCCGACGGGGTGGGCCGGCCCTCTGGGCCGAGCCTATTTTATCACCTCTAACTGTCAGTATTTCATATTAGCAGTAAATCCAATGATCTTAGCCACGCAAAGACAAATTTATTAGACATAAAATATAATTAAAAAAAAAGTGTGTTGGCAGGATAACCCACCCGTTTGGCGGGCGGGGTGTGTAACAGCCCGTTACGTACCGGTATTGTTAACATTAATTATGATATTAAGCGCAGTTACAATCACAGCAGTTCATTTATAAAAACGAGAATAAATTTTTTCCGACTATTACGCGAGCATTTAAATCATAAAAAGGCGTAATAATTAAAAGCTGTGAGCGTAACCGTAAACTCTTGCGGAAGACTTATTTAAACTATTTTTATCACTTACGTTACTTATTATAAGTTACTAAGGAGTTCCCATAAACTCACTTAGCCAATTTCCAACTTTACGTTTTATACCAATTCGAACATGTTACACTCTAAGTTTTTCCGCGACCAAACCGATCGCAACCAACCCTACTTCTCAGATTATATCTTTGTGTTACTTAATTCCCTTTTTAACAAGCTAAAATACGCTCAATTCGGAGCTCATTTGCTCCGGTTATCGCCGTTTGAAGTTGGATAAGCGATTAGCCCAAACAACCCCAAAAACAGCTCCAAACCACTCACATTGCTCGAATTACTGCACTCAATCCACTCAACCATTTGCTCTCAAATTTTTATCATACAAACTAGGCATCTCAAACTTCATTTTGATATATCACACGCTCAATTTGACTGAGAAACGAAGCGGAAATTAATTTCCCAAATCCGGTCCAGAATCTGCCTCAGGTGCAGGGGCACATGGGCAGTCCGTGTTTCTCTATTTTTTTCAGGCCGAAGATCAACCCAGATTTTCCTCAAATTTGGACACAAGGTAGAGGACATCTCAACCTTCAAAATGGCGTATGGCACGTCCCTAGGGGACTTCTATGGAGGGAGATATGCGCTCCCGAAGTTCGCCTAAAATCTGCCAATTCTACAGAAAATTCGCCAGAGTTTCCTTTGTGTTTCCAATAATCCCAAATTTGTAAAAGATCATTTAAACCTCAAATGTACCTAATAAACACATGATAATACAGTAATAATCCAATGGGTGGCACACACAAGGACCAACAACGCCTTGGGGCACTTACAACCCAATCCAGTTTATAGTTATTAAACATAGAGTCCATATTAATCATTCTTAAGTAGTTGCAATCACTAACACCTTTTTCATGCATATTTCCATCATACATATTATCATAACCTAAAATAGGCCTAAGGCCCTTCCATCATAATTAGACATGCATCAATACTATTACAATATGGCTTTACAAATTACAACTTGAAACTAAAACTTCAAATTACATTCTTCTAAAATTTCAACTTAATTTAAAAGACAACATAACCAAATACATCACTACTAGACTTAGGCAAAATGGCATGAACAAGATGCTAATGAAGCTACTAATAAATACAAATGACATGTTCATGCCCTAAGTCTAGCCTAGGCCACACGGCCAACAAAATGCAAAATAAGAAACGCTCCATCGCTCACTCTGCGGGCCTCTTGCCCGAGGCTCCTGCTCCACTGCTACCTCCTGAAATAAATGCCCCGAGACGGGGTGAGATATACGAATATATCTCAGTAACCAAGAGGTTCTGGAGAAAACTCCACCCAATGGTTCACTTCGATGCATATCAATAGAATACAACAACCACTTTGAAAACGGGATATAGCAAGGGATTTAGAGAATGGGGAATATAAGGAAAACAAAATACGACGATACGGGATGGTAACCCCAATTCCACGTACGCCCTCGGCATATATAAGCCTATGGGTATCATCCAAGGTGTGTTCACAGAAACCACAACCATGATGCCCAAACCAACCAAAACGCCAAAGACATTCCTAGTGTGCTCCTACCCGGATCACACACCATGACCGCAGTCAACTGGAACTCCCTCCTGGAGACCTATCCAGCGGAAGTCCGAAAATGCCCGAAGGCTAATAAAACTGTCTACTGGCCAGAGACTCGGTACCGCAGTACCCATAGCAATAATGCATGCATGCTCATGTGTTCTATACTATTCATACACACTTCCTACCGTTGCCATCAACTGGCAAGGTGGAACAGAAAAGGGGAACAAGCCCCAGTACCAAGAGGTTACCTTAATTCGTGTTTCCACAAGCTCCGCAGCAGCTTATCCCTCAACTCGGTACACAGCGGAATGCCTACACAGAGGACATTCCCAATCACTCTCAGTTCAACCCATACATGTTAATTTATAATTACACATGCCATGAACCAATTTCTTACCTCAATCCACTTGGTCCCGGACCAAGGGCAATTCACTGATTCAAGATTCGGGATTCAGGTCGACGTACGGCAACCTATACAATAACGTACATCCATCAGTACTCGTCAAATAGTATCAAAACGAAAAACACAAAATTCCTCCCCATCCTCCCTTGATGGTTCGGCCATTGTAGTGTAAATGTGAGATTTATTTTTCTAAATTTTCTTTCTCATTTTGTTACGTCTCATTAGGTTGTCAATAGGCCAGTTCAAGAGCCGGTTCGTCATTTTCGCGTCGAATTACATCAAAACGCGAAAATCGCCAAATCACCCCTTTTCCCCTTGGAGGTTCGGCCATGTAGGTGTAAATTTGAGATTTATTTTTCTAAATTTTCTTTCTCATTTTATAACACTCCCTTAGGTTGTTTAGAGGCTAGTTCAATCGTCGTTTTTCCGTTTTTCGACATTTACGCATCGTTTTGCGAAATATTTCATTCTGGGCTCATTTAGGTCTCTAACACAATTCATTTTTTTCCATTGATTCAAACACCCTCCAAGCACAACACAACCCATCTAAGCACCATATAACTACACAATTCATTATCCAAATCATTTTTCAACATCAATTCCTCAATCTTTCCTCAAAGAATCGAATTTTAACCCATGGCATTCCAAGGAATTTCCATACAACTTTAATCATTCCAACCATCATACAACCTATTATATCATCATACCATCATGCCACCATCATCAAACAAGTCTCAACACCAAAATTCACAAATTCCAAAATCATGATCATCAATTTTTTCTAAGTTAAAAATCATCACATTTCACTTAAAATTTTCATTGCATTTCTAGCATTACTACATCATTTTAAGGCATTATCATCTAATAGACATTTTCCATTTGAGCTCTCTAACACAACACATCATAAAATCCCTCTTTAGGGTTCATAAACACAATTCACCAATCAACCATTGAAATGTTGAAATAACTTACCCAAATGCAAGGCAAATGACTCCTTCTAGGTATACTCCACCATTGGAGCATTCCAAAGCTCCATGAACACCAAATTCCACAAGTGAGCCGCGGCCTTTGAGGGGGAGGATCTCAAAATCCAGCCACTTTCACGACTCAAGGATAGCACCAATGGCTTTAGAAGGCAATTTCCAACAAATTTCAAGTTAAACTTTGTTGAATTTGGTTAGGATTTGAGTGATTTAGGTGGGAAGAAAATTTGAAAGAAAACTTGGAGAAAGAAGGAGGGGGGCTCGGTTTTTGGCTGAAGGAGGGGTGAAGGAGGTGATGAATAGTACTTTGATGAGGTGTTTTAAGTGAATTTTAAGTGGGGTGGGTCCCAC